GTTGGTAGTTCTGATGAATTTTCATCAAGAAAACAAACATACATATCCGTTAATTTCAACGATGTAACACGAGATACCTGGGTATGAAACGGGCAAGCTGTACATTATCCATAGTTCTTCTAAAAAAGGAAAGAGCGATTTAGATGAAAAATGGTAAACTATCCATAGATCTTCTAATAAAGGAAATTATTTCCCCGTTCGAGGGATATTTAGAATTGAATTTTGGGACTATGAGAATCCGCTTCCTGAAAAACTGTAAACTATCCATAAGTCTTCTAGTAAAGGGAATTATTTCCCCGTCCAAGTGAGATTTAGACGAAAGACTGTAAACTATCCATGGATCTTCTAGTAAAGGAAATTATTTCCCCATTCGAGTGAGATTTCGACGAAAAACTGTAAACCATCCAGACTTTCTAGTAAAGGAAATTATCTCTCCGTTCAAGTGAGGTTTAGACGAAAAACTGTAAACTATCCATAAATCTTCTAGTAAAGGAAATCATTTCCCCGTTCGAATGAGATTTAAACGAAAAACTGCAAACTATCCATAGATCTTCTAGTAAAGGAAATTATTACCTCATTCGAGGGAGATTTAGACGAAAAACGGTAAACCATCCATAGATCATCTAGTAAAGGAAATTATTTCCCCATTCGAGTGAGATTTAGACGAAATACTGTAAACGTTCATAGTTCTTCAGTTCGGCCTAGGTTTTTTTTGTATGTCATTGTATATTCTTTGGTAAAGTCCCTAGCTCACAAACTCAAGTCTCATCGGCAAGAAGATAATGTCCAAAACAGCTTAATAATCAGGAAAACAAAGCAAGCAATATGAAGATAAGAGTACCAAAAAGAAGAAAAAAAAAAACTTAAAACGAATTCATACCACTGTACTGGTTTGAAAATTAGCACAAAACCTAAGTGACAGTCAATGACTCCATGTTCGTATGAAATAGTATGAAATCACCACTGTAGCTACAAGCAAGAGCCATTAGGTTGAATTACAGACAACAAATAGATCATAAAATCCTGTCCAGAAACTACAGATCTAAACAGTTCAATACTCTATTAGAATGCAAAATCTGAAAACAAAACAAAACAAATCTGAAATCTCAAACAAAACCAAACCAACGCCGAACTCCACCGCCACAACAAGAACCAAAATCCACCCAAAAACTCGCAGAATCCGCGAGTAAAACGGAAAAATCATAGATCCAGAAGAACAAGAAGAAGAAGAGAAATGGATTATATATATATATATATACCTTGCCACTGATGATGAGCCAACAGTCCTTGTGATTGTTGTGCTCAGCGACTTCCTTCAAGGTGAAGACCTTTTCTCCGCTACCCATATGCTCGAATCGGGTTCGTCGATCGAATTGAAGCGAATTGAGGGGGCAGAGAGAAGGAACTTTTGGGCTACAAAACAAGGATGGAAACCGAATGTAAAACAACTATATACTATATATATATATATATATAACTGATACGAGAAATTAAGCTCACGGAAAGATTTTGATGTCAACTACAAAAAAAAAAAAAAAAAAATTGGGATTCGGTAGTAGGTGAGATGGAATGACGATAGTTTTTGTTTGAAAGGCAAAAAACTAATGTAAACCCAATCAAAAGTGGTCACAATTGGTTGGCAACAACGTGCAAAAACACGGACACCATCTCTAAGATCCATTATAACCCCATTTTTGGGACCATATATATATATATATATCTAAACTTTTAGATTATATCAATTGAAGTTTTAAATTAATAACTATAAATTTTAATTTTGAAATTTTGATGGTAACGTTCGATCTGATCTTTTGAACTTTTGTAAGTGAATCAATTATTTAAAAATTTAAGAGTTTTAATTGATGTAATTATAAGTCACAAACATTGAATTTTTAAAACTGTCAAATTTTGTTTTTGAAATTGTGAAAATGACGAGTTGAGTATTTGAATTTTATATTTAACTTATAATTTTATGAAATTTAAAATTATGATTGAAACATGATTAAGCTAAATTAATAAAAATATTTTTAACCTTCCATTTTATCTCGAAAATACTATTTTTATTTTCCAGTTTTTTTACATATTTTTTAAAGTGGAAAGATATTATTGAAATTTTAAAATATTTAAATGTATTTTTTTTTAGAACAAATAAAAGGTTGGTGAGCATTTTTAATATTTTTTTTTTTTATTAAAAGAAGAGAATTTAAAATTGGAATTAAAAGTCTATACAATTGACCTAGATAGCCAACCATATGTACCTACCAAACCAACTTTATTAAAATCAAATTAATCGTTTCTTTTTATTTTTTTTAATTTCAAGTTTTAAAATCCAAAACCAACCTTGAAATACAATGGGTATGATTTGAAACTTTGATTAATAGCCATCTTAATTTTAGTTTTTATTAACCATAATTTAAAATTAATATTTTATATTTACTATAAACTTTTAATATCGTTTTGATATATTTAACATTTTTTAAAATTAATAACGGTGTCTCGTGTAACATTTAATTTTTAATTACATATATAATATACTCCTTTAAAAAAAAATCGAGAACATATTATACACAAAAGTTGGAAGCTCGAAACCTATAACATATTAAACGACCCATTAAACGTATATCTAAAAATTAAAATAATAAACGAGTAATTTCCCAGTATTCGTTGTAATATTTTAAATCATATTAATTCATTTATATATATATTTCACAAATTTCACAAAAAATTCAAAATTGATTAATTTTTTTAATAATTTGAATGGAAATTAAAAATAAAAACTAATTGGAATATATATAAATATAATTAATCAACTAATTAAATAATAAAAAAATTTATTTTTTATTTTTTTTATAATATATGTCTAATTAATTTTAGGAATTTTAAGATAACTCGTCGACTAAAGTTTTAGAGATAAGCTCAAATATTTTAGGTGGAAGACGAATTAATGGGCCTTGAGAAACCCCAACGAAGGCCCAACTTGAAAGCCTCATATACAAATTGATATCTCTCGCACAATCCCGTTCTCTCCAAAACCCTAGCTGCTCCCAGAGACTGAGAGAGTAGCCGCAGGATCAAAAATGGTGTCGGGTTCTGGAATCTGCGCTAAGCGCGTCGTCGTTGACGCCAGGCACCACATGCTCGGGAGGCTGTCTTCTATCATCGCCAAGGAGCTTCTCAATGGGCAGAAGGTGGTTGTTGTTCGATGTGAAGAAATTTGCATTTCTGGAGGATTGGTTCGTCAGAAGATGAAGTACATGAGATTCTTGAGGAAGCGTATGAATACCAAGCCATCTCATGGTCCCATTCATTTCCGTGCTCCTGCCAAGATCCTTTGGCGAACAATCCGTGGGTAATGTCTATTCTCGCATTGTGTTTTCTATGCTTGTTTGTAGTTAGATAGAGATGAAAATGTGTGTTTGTTTGTTTTTGTTTTCCTTGCAACGGTTTTTACTACGGCTTGTTTAGGTTCTGGATCGATCAGGAGTGCTGCATCTTACGTTTACAAATTTTATCGTGATATTCGAGTTACTTGTTTTGTTCTTACCTGAATAAATTTTGAAGAAAATTTGTGTTCCTTGTCTTAGTATTCATTGAAAAGGCTTTATTATAACGTTGAATGAATTATGAGGAACTAAACAGTTGCGCAGGACATGTTTTCTATGATTTTGTATCAATCTGTTTGATTTACACTGTGTTTCCGATGTACTCTAATTAATGATTGCGGATCCAAATGTATGGTTTACTAAGTTTGGTTGGCTAACTGTTAGGCTTATGAGTTTCATATTGAAATTGAGAATTGATTTGGCATTAGGAAACTACGATTTTCCTGCCATGATTTCAGTTTAGGGGTTTGGTTTTCTAATTTATCTGTTTGTCATTTCTATATGAATACTATTTGTTGGTCTACAACTTATCTGATTACAATTTTTGTGTAATTTTAGTATGATCCCACACAAGACAAAGCGTGGAGCTGCTGCTCTTGCTCGTTTGAAGGCATATGAAGGCGTTCCACCTCCATATGACAAGATGAAAAGGATGGTCATCCCCGACGCTCTCAAGTGAGTTTGAGAATTGGATCGATCTTTTCTTATCAGAAACAAAGAATTAGATACAAATTATGGGGCTAGAATTAAAATTTGAGCTACGAATTAAACAATACTGTAAGTAACGTTTATGTTTTACTTTTCTATATTTATGTTTTCTCCTTATTTGTGAATATTTTAGGGTTTTGAGGCTTCAAGCTGGACACAAATACTGCTTGTTGGGTAGACTCTCATCTGAAGTGGGATGGAACCACTATGACACTATCAAGGTATACGCATTATGAATGATTATTGAATGTTGGTTTCTATTCATAATTTTTTTCTTCCAAGTTTATCTAATCATCATTTTGCCATATGTTTTTACACTCCATTGATTTTCATGTTGATGAAGTGAATAGATGATACTGATTTCTGGTTTTTCGTTCTATCACAGGAGCTTGAAAGGAAGAGGAAGGAGAGGGCTCAAGCCGTGTACGAGAAGAAGAAGCAGTTGAATAAGTTAAGGGTCAAAGCCGAGAAGGTTGCAGACGAGAAGCTCGGTCCCCAGTTGCAAGTAATAGCCCCGACTAAATACTAGTTTGTTGCAAGATTTGTGTTATGGGAGAATGGAGTTGAGTTGCATTTGCATTTTCTTCATAGCGTGCCATTTTGTTGTCTATTCATGATGATGATGATTTTGGTCACCATTTTTCTTATCCTTTTTATCTTCGGATTTTGAAATTAGTTTAAATTTGGGGAATCGCATTTTATTCCTTAATCTACTTAGGTTCATCTCATATTCTGAATTTTGTATTTTTTTTTTATGTTTTTTGAAAACTACATATTTCTCAAATTATTTACCTGGTCTTCATCTGCTTGAAGAAATATTTGATCTTTGCATAATTTTTAGAAGTTTTTTTTTTTTTTTTAAATTTCATAAGATGGTTTTCATTTTTCGATGGAACATTAATATATATATANATATATAAGTATATAAATAAATGTTAATGTAGTATTTACAAGTTTAATGATTAATTATGGGTATTTATTTTTAATGAAGATAATTAAAGCTACTTTAGCACTTTTTACATATTTCTTGAATCTAAACTAAATTAAGAGATTACAAATTGAAATGGTTATCGAACATATTTCAGATTAAAAAATGCTTACAACATGCATATAATTTAACCGTCGGAGCCATAAGTAATGTGAGATTGATTTAGAAACAAGGGGTTCTGAGTAATTTGAAATACAAGTCATTGCATGAAATTCATGGAAGGGACGGTGAATTTGGAACTGAGGGGTAAGAATGTGGGTTAACCACAGCTACCTTATTACCCATTATCAGTTTAAGTAAATAAAAAGAATCCTACTCATTCTTATTCCAAGTTCCCTTGACTGGCAACAGCCGAAAACTAATGTTTTGATGTTTAATGATCTCTTCTGGGTGCCCTGTGAAAATAATTTCTCAGGAATTACGACAGCGAAGCCCTTGTCTACTCAACTTTACGATTTGAAAAACGCATCTGCTAGGGATAAGTTTTTATATTCTTATCCGATTTTAAAACGCTTCACATGTTGTTGAGAAAAATTACGACTTTTACCACAATAATCGTTGTCCATAGAGCCATAAAAGAAAACTTCCAAACCGCTCTTCAGCGTTTGCAGCCCACTCGATGATCATATCCCCATTTAGGTCCTAACCATCTAATTCTGTTACTGTCTTCCTGTCGAAAGAAATTCGAAAGACTGATTTTTTAATGCATTAACACAAAGAAAAGAGTTCAAAAATTGCAGGGCAGAATTATCGGAAGCTTCCTCACTGCCCCTATTTGATGCTCAGATAAAATTTAGTATTTTGGAAGTCATCTAGAAGCAAAAACTAAATGCGATCAGGCATGCATACCTATCAACTTGCTTTTCCACCCATACTTCCATCCAAGAGGAAACTTGATTTTGTGAGTACATAAGATAATGGAAGATTGTCCAGAACCTGTGAAAAATGAACAATTTAATGGTCTAGGAAGCATATATACGACTCAAAATCTAAAGAAAGTTAAGCCAACACCACTTGAAGATGAAAAAATCACGTCTCAGCAAAGTCTTCAATGAAAAACTGTTACACGACCGACTCATGTTTAATTGGGTAATGAAACAATGTTCAACAATTGAGGAAACAAATTCATGCATATGCAATCATACATCATTTGATGTTTCTCTGAGAAAGAAATTGAGGGAAAAGGCAAGACTATTGATGCGTAGAGTAATTGATTACACTTCTCCAATCAAAAGATCTGCAATTTCAAATGTTTCACAAGTTAACTTTTAACATACCTCAAGCATAATTACCCAACACGGCTGCTCTTCCACGTCTCCTGTTGGACAATGGTTATTGTTACAACTACATTGTAGAATCATAAATGCAGAGGCTATGTATAAAGAAGCAACAAATGTAACAAACCACTATCTATATTAAACTGTCTGCTGCTGAGTTACAAAGAAGAATAAAGAGAAAACAATCAAGTTTGGCAAATAATGTCAACAATAGAATACATAAAAATTAAAAAAAAAAAAATTAAGGTTGACAAGGTATTACTCATTTCATGGTTGAGTATAAGTGTCGCAAAAGCACACATGTACAAGTCATAATGTTTTCGAGATATAGCAACACATGTACAAGTCATATTTTGGTAAACTCTAGTAGGCGCATTCAACATTATGAAATCCATTATACCCTGTCATATAACTGTGGACAAATAAAAAGATACACACACACACACACACAATCAAGTTGGCATAACAAAACTAGAGATTCAGAGCATATAACTTGTTTAAATTCTTGAAGTCTCCTATTTCAAAAGAAGTTTATGACTAATTAATTTATTTGAATGTTCACAATGTCATCGGTGGAATATTTGGATGGAAGAACTTAGAGAAATCAAACATTGGAATAGTTTTGAACTTCCTGATTTTGTTCTCCTTGTGGCTTCCACATAGCGTTCTCTTGATAGGATCTGCTTTTTTGTAAACCTAAGGATTTCGGTAAGAAGATTACTTGCGTCCTTGCCACCTAACGGTTCTATATATCCTTGTCATTAACAAACTTTTTTCTTCTTACCGGCACCAAGCAGGGGAATATCCATATACCTAGAGGAAAAATATTGCTTTCTTAAATTCAATTCCAAAATTCGTAAACAATTAGCAATAATGGCTTCTAACTATCATCTCATACAAAACTCACATATCTGCTAAAGAGAAAAGAAAAGAAAAAGAACCACAATTCTCAAAAACACTGGGGACGGTTCCTATCAAATAAGGAAACTTCCTTATTGGAGCCCCCAAAGTAAAAATCAGTTAATCTCAACTTCTAATTATGGTCACATTATGGTTGTTGGAAAGGATTGTCAAAAATTAAATCTTCAAGGATACAGAAAGCTTTGAGGATTTTTGTTTTAAACAGGACATTTCAACCAGCTAGCACGTAAGTATTATTTATTTACGCTCAAGATAAACAGAAAATGGGAAGACAAGATATCCTGATATGGCCAAAGTTAAGGAAACTCTCCACTTAGCTAGGATAAAGAAAAATGGCGCAGCACAACAAAAGCGTTCAGATATAGCAGGCAGGAAACCTGAGTGGGTAAAAATATTGAATGCAACAAAAATATCCTGAGTGGCTAATGAATTTACATTTCAAGATGAAGAAAGATAGAAATCTTACTTTCAGTGGAATAGAAAGATTGGCAGTACGCATGATTGCTTCAGCAATCCCATGGGCATACCAAGGCTACAAGGAAATAAAGTTGCAAGGTCAAACACAAAGAAAGCTGACGGAGAAAAACTAACAAACAAAAGCAAACATGAAAGATGTAGCCAGAGCTTACTATCAATTGAGCTAGATTCATAGTTATTGAGAAATGAAAATTATCTCACCAACGTAGAGCAAAAATTAACAAAGAAGATTTATGGGCATTTTTTTTCATGCTAGATTGACTTATTTCTCAAAAATTACATTGAGGAGAGAATACCCAATATCAGAACCATTGGTCCGTTGGAACAAAGATCTTCTCGTCCAGATTAATGCTAATATTACGTATGATGCCACATGAAAATTTAACAACTTCAATCATGATTCCAGTACAATACGTGATATCTAACAGTAGAATTTTATGGGAAATTTTCAGTTGTGGAATCTTTTGTTTATTAACATCCATAGTTTGCAGAATGCGCATGTATTATGCCACTTACCATTCCTACTCTGCCTTCAGAAAACATCATAGCAATGATATCAGAAGTACAATATGCTTTTTAAGAAACCAGCATGTTGAATTGACAGGAATAATACATATGCTTGTAAATATGGCCGTAGTTTAATCAAACACACACCGGGTCCATCAAGTAAACGGGAAAAATCATTTGATCCAAAATATAATCACTCTTAACGAGCCTCCTGGACACAGTTTTCTAGCTATTATAGCAACATGATGACAATACACTCATATCAATCCGAATAATTCATGCCTTAATGCTTGTGAATACCTCCAAACTATACAGATTTAAAACTATGTCTATGGCATACCTTCAAGCTGATTGAACGTGATGCTCTGTTCCATAACTCCAACCGACCGTTACCGCTGAACGAAGTATCCATGATTCGGATCGTACGCTGCGGAATGTATCAAATCGCGAACCTCACGAGAATTATTCATCGAAATCCATAACTACGAAATGCGAAATGTGAGTAAGAATCAGTCCGCAAATGAGAAGAGTACGGCTCGTCATCAACAACATGAGTCGAAAAAAATGATCAACAGCGCACGATCGTTGATCTGAATTCACTGCAATATAAAGTTCCAAGAATTGGGGACAACATTGCGGAACATATGGGAAGAGAGGGAGAAAATATACCTCGAGAGAAAGGAAGAACAATGAAAAGTTTCTGAATCAATGGCGCCATAAGGGATGTTCTGTGATGGAAGGACTTTGTTAGTATAATTGCTCTCGGTGAACTGAGGGTTTTGGAGAGCCTTTGCGCATAAACTCCCGCCAAAAAATTTCTCCATTTTTTAATATATTATTTTTTAAGAGCAAAAAAACATTCCTCTAAACATGTTTTTATTGGATAGTTTTTATATTTTTATTTTTTTTAATATAATTCTATTATAAAATATAAAATATTTTTCATACATTCAATAATATTTAGTTATAACGTTTAATATAATTTTTAAGAATTAAAATTTTAATTATTTATTGGGCGGCTTTGATATATATATAAATTGAGTGGGATGAGGCCGGATCTCAGCTAATGCGGATAAATCTCCATGTGGAACGAGGCTCGATCACGTTTAGCTAATGTGGATAAATCTCATATATATATATATGTATAAAAAAAAAGGGGGGTGAGGCCCGATCCTATTTAGCTAATGCAAATGAATCTCTGATAGCTCTCTCCCATATGGGGACGAGCCTCGATCCCATTTAGCTAACGTAGATAAATTTCTCATAGCTGTCTTCCAGATTTCCCGTTTTAAATAAGGTATAGATTGAACTATCAACCTTTATAATGATAATTTATATCTTTATATTTGAATAAATTCGGATCCTTGAATTTTCATGAAATTAGCAATTTAGTCATTAAATTTTAGTTTATAACGCTTTAACCCAAGTATTTTCAATTTATAACAATTTCGTACCTACTTTAAATTTTATAATTATTTAATTATTATCATAAAATTATTTTTAACATTTCAATAGAATTTATTACACAACTCCACAAACAAGGTTAACAATTAGATAAAACTGTAATATACTAAAATTTAAAGGCCAAAATGTATAAATAAAAGAAAATAGAAACTAAATCGTTAAACCAAAGTTTAAGGACTAAATTGCAACTTCCACGAAAGTTCAGGGACTAGACTGCAACATCTTTAAAACTCAATCGATGATAATTTATTTTTACTTCCATTTGTGAACCAATAATTTGATTCAATCACGTTTCGGTGTTTTTATTCAAATAATATATAATTTGGCAATAAAAAATAATTTTAAGTCAATAAAATCATTTAAGAGAATTATTATTTTTCGTTTTCCTAAATTTTAATTTTCTAAATAATAGTTGACCATTGATGTAATATTATTGTCCTTCTTTTATTTTTTTTTAATTATTCGTCCAATTTTTTTATTTAACTATGATTTATTTTATTGTACTATATTTAATCATCATTCATTTAAAAAACTCTTAAGTTATATTTAATTTATTTTAAATAATAATAATTTTAGTCATTTAACATGTTATCAATAAATGCTTATATTTTAATTTTAGGTCTATTTGGCGGGTTTGTCATTTTCCTGCATATGTTAGGTACCATTTGAGAAGTAATCTTATTCACCGAACACGACACCTTCATACATATAATAAAATATCAAAAGAAGTTTCAAATGAGGTGGACGAAATGAACGGGTTAAAATATTAATATTTAAAATATAATAGCTAGTTTCAAATAAGGTAGAATACGCACCGTATGATGATGAGGGTGTTCATGAGACGCATGACACTATGGGATTCCGTTGATCTCCAAACGTCGCTATAGATTAGCTTGACTAGAGGGTCCAGGGTGTGTACGAGCGCCCGAGAGATTCACACTCGCACGTGTGAGTCATTGTAGGGAAGTACTACACATCCAATTTGTCCGAGATTAGAGGCCACCTTTTAGAGATAGGTCCCTGAATCATGATGACATGTGTTTGCATTTGCATGACCTCGTGGGGTCATTTACTGAGTATTCTTCGAAATACTCGGGTCAAATTATTTACCGACACGTGCTATGTTACTGATCGTTTACGGTTAAGATGTGACGTGTCCAAATAAATAATAATTTAATTTGGTTATACATATTTTTCTAATTTAAACTAAATTATTGTATGTATTGATGGTACTATTTTGCTAACTTAAGAAACATGGCCATGTGAAAGAAATGGGATTTTAAAAGCAACTCAAATATTTTTAATTTTAAAAAATTGCCTCTTTTTCATTTCCATGGGCTGCAAAAGCCACTTTTTATGCCTTAGAACATGGAAGCAAACCTAAAAGAGAAAAATAAATAAATAAATAAATAAAATAAAATAAAATAAATATATTTTTAAAGTTAATAAAACCACCATTCACCACTTAGACATGTGATTCCCCCTACCATATTGTTCTTTCGGTTTAGATTTAATTAAATCGATGAAACGAAACCCTAATTAGTTATAGCTAACGAAGTTGTTAACTTCCCGTCCAAACAACAATTTACCTATGAAATTCAAAGCTCGAGCCTTGTTAGAATAAAGTAAATCATAAATAAGTGATGTATTAAGACGGTTCGGATACTCAAGCTATTGGTGATCCTAACAATAGGTATTACAAATATCCATTAGCAGAGAACGACGCTATAATCAATAGTGGAGGTCAAGAAGGAATTGAAGTTGAAGTTAGAGCGACCGATGAAGTCATTGTGACAAGGGTACTTCCAACTGTCGTGCCAATCCATGAACTAACTTAACGCCAGTCACGTTTTGAAGTTACGTATATTTACAAGTATGCCACTACTTTTATTTATTTATTTATAAAATTTATATTATTTTAATAAATTTAATAGAGGGAGGTTTTTTAATTAAAAAAAAAAAGCAAAAAAGGGTTACTTTGGCTTTAATGCACAAAATATATTTCGAATTTATATTTTTCGTAAATATATATATATATATAATTTCAAAAGTTAATTAAGATAAATTTAAAATTTAAAATATTAATTAAATATTATTTTAACGGTCCATAATATTTACGTGAGGTGAAATTCAGAAAGGGGAGAGAAACGTACAAAAGAGAGGGCCGTAGACCAAACATCCCAACCCATGTCTGATTTGATTCCAACCGTTGAGAAACACAATGGTCTGATAAGATTCATTGAATTGTCTGTCCCCTTTTCTTTTATTTATTTTTTTATTACTTTTTTTTAATCTCCCTAATTTAATTAAAATAGTTCAAATATAATTTAAATTTCAAGAAATATGTTTTTTATTTAAAAAAAAATGGGTAGGACTATGAATTTGTGGTATTCCATTATTGCCCTTTGGGTGGCCCTTCCAAAGGGTAGTCACTAGTGAGTTGACTTTTTATATATATATATATTTATATTTATTTTTTTTAAAATTGAGTAGAAATGGAAAAAGTATGCAAATTTTGTATTTACATAAACAATGTCTCCTCAATTGAGAAAAAGAAAAAAAAAAAAAAATTGGTAGTTGCTTAAGTTAGACCGACAGGGACCTTAGGGCTTATCCAAAAGAAAGCTCGAGCAATGATTGATTGAAATGAATAATCGTTGACACGTAGCATAGATAACTAATTGACAAAGTTGATCAGAGAAAATTTGAGCGTTTGGATCAATATATCTGATTATAAATTATCTTAAATTAATTATACATTGAGTTTAATCGAGCATTTCTTAGCTGAAATACCTCGATTATAAGGACTAAATTTACAATTTAACGTTTTTATTTGACAGTAACTAAATATCAAATTCCACCGTCTAACCACAATCATTTCACTATTGAAATACTTTCTTAAACCGCTTTAAATATTATTTATTAAAATAATAAATTAATTTTTTAAAAATTCAATATTACCCAAAATTACAAATTTGATTTAAAAATTGGTCAAATTTCATTAAAGTCAAAAGAATCAAAACCCTAATGCATCAATAATAAATTTAAAAAAATGTAATTTTTTTTGTCCCTATGAGTATGAGCTAAAGAATAGCTAGTTGGCAATCATGTGGTAGTTACTAATAAAATAATGAAACAGAGTCACCATGTTTGGACACATAAATAACAATAACCAAAAGCCAGATAAGCCACAAAATTCAGAGAATTTCCTATCCCGGTTATGGGTAGCTTATCCACACATCCAATCATACTAAATCATTTAATTTGTTTTGACATTACTAAAAATATAAAAAAATTTGTTACATATAATATATATACCAAAATTTATATCAAATATTTAAAAATTAAAACAAAGTAAAATTATAAAAATTTAAATAATTTGAATAATTCTACTAAATATAATATTACAAATTTAGTGATTTATTATTAAAATTAAAAAAATTAAATTCATGTATTTTCTTAAATATTATTTATTATTATAATTCTATCCATTTCAATAAAAAAAAAAAAAAATAACTTTAGATAACACTAATAATTATTTAAATACAATATTAAAATATAATATACCCAAAGTTTAAAAAATATATATATTTTAATGAATATTATAATATTAATTTGATTAGCTTTAGAGGTCTAAATTTAACCCACATGCCTTTTGACATTAAATCTTCTGTCATACTATAAGAAAAAGCACCTAGGTTTCAGAAGTGCTTTACTTGCCTCTTTATATATATATATATATATATATATATATATATATATATATATATATATATATATATTTATTTATTTATTAATTTAAATAATTTAATAATATTATTTTTCTGTTTTAGGAAGCAATAAATGCCAAAATATGAGTAAAAGTTGGAATTGATTGCCCTAAAAACACTGTTCCACCTTGCTGCCTTTTGCTTTCACGCCGAGGGGAGGTCTTGTCATCAAACACAATCAAACCCAACGACCATACTTGTAAATTTGGTACACATTTTTGTCTCCACCCTTCTTCTTCTTCCCCTTTGTTTTT